GTGTACGGAGACGAGAGACGATATACAGAGACGACAGAAGACGTGCAGAGACAAGAGACGGAGACTGTGTTGGCGGAAATGTAGCATTATAGATCAATGAAGCGTATGTCACGGTAAAATATATATTAAATATTAAATAGATATTAAACAAGTAAAAGGGACCCGTTGTACGGCGGCAGGTCGACTCGCATTGACATCTGGCGTGAACTAAGTAAGTGTTTCGTCGCAGCGCCCTTCAGAGCGGCTTTTCCGAGCTCTGACTGCTCGGTATGACGCGATGCCATTCACTTCAACAGGATCCCGCCTGGCAAAAAGAAATACCACGATCAAGCTCAATGTTCTGTCGGACGCTGCGTTTCTCATTAGTTTCTCGAAAAGACACATGCTATATAGGAGCAGAACATCTCTTTAAATAGACGCGCACCGGATATCCGTTTTGGAACGTCACGTGTCGTTTTACAAGGTCGAACGATCAAATAAATACCTTATGCGAGATATAGGAGCGCATAGGTCTGAAACCATGTTTAGTCTCGATTAGTTATGTTTTGTTGAAGCCGAAGGTAATGTCTTGGTCGAATGCACTGTTCGGTACGCTTAGGAAATAATCTATGCTTAAACTTTATTCGCGAGACTTTGGACAATGGTCTGCTGTGGGAATAGTAATACGGCGTAAACTACATAATTCCGAGGGAACACAATGACATTTGTTTTCTTAACAAGCATAACAGCCATTTATTACCCTATTTGATTCTTAAATGCACAGCGCGCGCAGACCATACACAAGCGAGCGCAGCGCCCGGGTTCCCCCGAGTGTTTGTTTGATCACGGCGTCAATGTGTTAACCCGCGCCCTGCTGGGGTGGGGGGGGGGGGGTGTTTGAACACCCCCCCTTGTGGTTTTTCGCGAATATCTCAAAAACGGCGGCCGTTTTTGGTACACCTTATCATACATTAATTCTACACATGTTGTAAAAATTTCAGACCAAGGTCATTCAAGGTCAGGTCACCAGATCACTTGAAGTGACCTCACCTCATAAAAAGTTTCAATGTCTGTCATAGCTACACCGAGTGGCCGATCGCTTTGAAACTTTTAGCGATTGCTAAGAGCAATAGCATGTACAAAATGTATATCTCAGAATTTTGATATCGATGACCTAAGGTCAGGTCAATTTTGCGACCTCCCCATTATAAGTCAATGGGAGAAAATTGAAATGCGCCTCTTTTGGACGAAAGACATTATAAACACTCCCAAACACCGAATTACAAGTGGTTTAGACACACTGAACATAAAAATGGTGTCCGTGACCCTTGTTTGTGCCCTGAGGTCATCTAAGGTCACGAATGGTATTTAACAGTTTTTCGCAAATAACTTTTGATAGAGGCATGCTAGAGCGATGAAAACGCCTTATATGTGTTCAGCTCGACGATACGGATCGACTGATATGCAACATGACCCTTTCCGGTCAGGTCATGACCTTGACCTGAGGTCAAATTTTCAAGTTGACCTTTCAAGGTCAAGTTATAGTTCATTCGATGCGTCTTGACGAGAGGAACACGATGCCGGTGAAAGTAAGCTCGTACAAGGCTTGGGTCAAAAGTTATTGCAGAAAAACTGTTTCCGAAAAAATCGGCTATTTTTGCAGTTTTTGCCCCCTGCAGGCAAAACCGTTGACGGTAGGTCAAATCTGAGAGAATTACTCAGAAAGGGCGTTAATAGGGCTATCGAATGCACTTTTCCGCTGCGCTGTAGCTCTATTGGTTCCCGAGTTATGCGTTGGCTTCTTGGAAATTTTCGACATTCGACCTGGAACTCGGCGAAATTTTGCCTTCAATGACCTCTGGTGACCTGACCTTTGACCTGACCAAAAAATTGACCGAAGTGATTTCGTCATTATTTTTGACGCTCTTTCGAACGCCGCCTTCCGCGTATCGCTAACGTGGCCCAGGAGCCGAGTTACAAGGGGGGGGGGGTGTTCAAACACCCCCCCCCAGCAGGGCGTGGAAATCCAGGACCCCCAGCCGGGCGCGGGTTAACCTGTCGTTATCACGGTCGGCTGCCGGGGCGGGATGTGGCGGGACCGGGGGGGGGGGGGGAGGGGGCGGTAATGCCCCGGGGCGGCGCGGCGGTCGGAGCGGCGCCGGTAATGGGTGCCGGCGATCTCTGACGAGCCCCTACCGTCCGGACCGGGTCCGACAGACCGGCTGGAGCCGACGGCCGACCGGACGGCCACACACACAGCGGGAAATGGCAACCGCGGCGCCTGCCTGGTCACTGGCCAATGCAAATAATCTGTGAATATTTATAAACGGAAATCAGCATTGATTGGCTGAGCCAGACGCTACGATTGATAATCATAACACTGGAGAAGGTCGCTACCGTATTTTGATAACCTCATGCTTTGTTACTAGCAAGCGATATGAAAATAGCAAAAAGCTGCATTTTCTGCAGATGTTGCCAGCTTCTCTGGTGTGAAATCAAACACGTTGCAGTTTTCTGGTTTGTATGTTTTTACTTTTAGTTTCAGTATTGCTAATTTTTTTATGACATTTTTTCAGTTACTTAACTTTCAGAGAACTATTAATTAGCAACAGAACAGTCAACAGTTTATGCCTAGTTGAATCATCCTTTAGTAGCCGCACCTATCGGTTTTCTACACACCGGGGGGGGGGGGGGGGAGGGATAAGGCTTGATGGAACGCTCCTCGCCGCTTCGCCCCTAATTGCTTATAGATGGCTAGTATTTGGAAGGTTACTACACCTCGTAAGTTTCATCTCCCTGCGGAAGATTTCCTGGTGCTGATGGCGTTGCGACATTTCGACATTTTAGGATCGTGATGAGGTTCACTTATGAGTCTGACCTGAGCTGACCTGAAAATGCGGTTTGTGTTACGAGATCTGTCTTGAATCAAAGGCCAGGAAAGACAACTTTCAAGTCTCTGTCGCCAGCGTGTTTCGAGAAATCGCATGGAAATCGTAAAGGTATGGCACCGACTGTCAACTCCCCTCGGTCAAGGAGCATTGACGAAGCTTAGTTGTCTAGCTTTATACCAGATAGAAATGAAAATTTGGTTTAATAATTAATAATTGGGTTATTTTTTCTATTTTGGCAACATGCAACATAAACATCAACTCATTTTTGCTACTATTTTATCATCATGGCAAAAGATCGAAAAGTTGCGACTCGTTTCAACATTATGATAGGTACAGTACAGTACCTAATTAACCCTCGCCGGCACAGGCCATTTTGAGTCCTTCGACGGCACAGGGGGGGGGGGGGGGGGTACGACCCCCTCGCGTTTGGCCCCTGCCCCTGATGGAGCTAGAGCTTCGCGGAAAAAAACGAGCGTGTTGCCCATCACGAGAGGAAGCCAATGATACCCAATTTTAAGGTCCTAGGTCATCGGTTGACCTTCCAGGTCAGGTCAATGACCCAAAAATCGGGAATATCGGGACCTGCTAGAAAGTCGTAAAGCGTGGATGCTAATGGGTTTTCCAGGGTGCTGATCACGAATATCGTGTTAGTTTTGATCACAGATGATGTCGTTAAGCGTTTAGACCATGCCGGGTCAGGTCAGGTCAGGTCAACTGGTAGGGGTCGTGACGGGTATTCGTAGTACCTCTCATCCGCCTCTGACAGCTTCTTAACATGTTACGAAGGCACCAAAACTACTTCGTAAATGTTCAAATGGTTGCTAAATTCGAATTCAGCTAAAAAAAAACTAGCCTAGAAACATGTAAAACTCGAAAAAGTGAACCGAATTCACCAAAGGTCAATGACCTGACCTGACCTTCAGGTGACCTTGACACCCACCCTAATGCATGGGAGCAACATCAAATCACATGTTTGAACGTTTGAAACCACGAAAAGCTGGTAAACGCGCGGCTAATGCGAGCCGACATACGCCGAATCGCGATTCCGGCCAAACATGGTCACGGAAAAGAGGTCACAGGTCAAGGGTCATTTGGGTCAGGGTCATGAAATTTTCAGGGTAGGTGTAAAATTGATCAATGCGAGGGTACTGAAAGTTGCGTCGCGATCGGCCGCTTTTTACGCGAGTTATTCGCGAGAAAACCTTAGGGGGGGTTGCATCAACCCCCCCCCCCTGTGCCGGCGAGGGTTAAGGTATAGGTGCATGTACATTCGAAACCATAATTGGAGCATTCGCGAAAATTTAGTCATGCAACATTACCGTGAAATGCTGACATATCTTGCGGGTTATTTATTTGGTGTAAATCACTTCCGGCAATTGAACATAAATGTTCAGCCAGCTTTATTTGATGTTTGCTGTTCACCTGCGTGGCTTGAGCAAACTCATTAGTTTCCTGGCGCTGTTTTGAGGTATTTTGTTCGGTGTCCTGACATTGTGCTGGCTCCAGATATGTTTTGGTTACGGTATCAAACATCTAATACGTGCGCACTGTAATTGGACCCGCATTAGTATGTTGTTGATCTTGTGGAATTTAATCTTACTGTGCACTGTGCGTTGTACAGGCATTACTTTCAATAAGATTGATTTTACTTAAGTCCATTCTGAAGAAATGTATAAAACAAAAGTATCAAATAATGTTTCATCTCACGCTACACGCCATAGCCAGCTCAGATCTACGATCTCGTGTTTCGCAGCCGGTCGCGGTCATGTTGTCGACTCGTCTAGTTATATCCTGTTTTTCATTTTGCGTCGCCTCCCCGTGTGCTGTCTCCGGCCGGTCGTTCCATAGTTTGGCGGCCTGGGTCACTCTGTTTTTGCTGCTCCCCTGCGTCTCAGTGTGTTTTGACTGCAGTGGGTGGATTGGACTTGTGCTGACTCCTGTCGTTCGTTCGCTTCTCTGTCTATCCGTCTGTTCGTTCATCTTTTCGTTGAGCTGCTGACTGGTGTTGTTTTTTTACACCACTCCCATTCGCTGTACTTTTGCTCTTCTAGTTTGTTCACAACGTCAACACTAAATGGGTTGAGCCACGTTGAGCTAACCCTCCGGTTTCTGTCCTCTGTCTGTCCACAGCCCAGTCAGATTGGCGGCAGCGCTCCGGCCGACCCCGAGGCCACCTACCAGCTCTATGATCGGGTGGTTAACGTGCGTGAGGGCTTCAGCGTGCCGCTCGGTGCCAAGGGAACCGTCATCGGTGAGTGGCGGCGGCGGGGACGGGAAGGGAGGGGGGCTCCGGCGGGAGGGTGGTCCGGTCCGGCGATTTTCGGGCCTTCTGGGGATATGGTTTGGTGTCGCAGTTTCGTGGTGGCTTAGCGGAGTCTGGCACTGTTTTAAGTACAAGACTTGTTTCTTGTTTGACGACTTTTGAGAATGGTACGAACAAGGACTCCGGATTGCCTTTGATCCACTCAGCGTGGAGCCAGGTCGGTGCATTGGATCGGCCCACTGGCTGAGCCCAGTGACTGCGTCGTGAACCTGACCTCAGTGATCGGTTGGAGGTATCTATATGCACCGTCTGTCACGCGGCTCGTCCGTCTGCGATATAACGACCGCCGGCGACGTATGCGGATGTGAGGATCCCTGCGCGTCTCTCGGCTAACGGTACCCTCTCGGAGACACACTCCTGTCGCGCGCCGAGCAAACATCAATCCGGGCGGTCATCAGCGGACGATAGAGGAGTCCGCCGGGAGGGATGACCCTCCGCGGAGCGGGCCGGCCGCGCGGGATGGACCTCGGAGGGGTCCAGGGGGGGGGGGGGAGTGCCACGGGAGGGGTTCAGGAGGGATGAGGCCAGAGTGGGGGACTGCGGAAGGGCTGGTTCGAGGGGGAGGCATTGGCCATTCCTGATATGTTCCAGGCACTGTGACCATCGGTGACCCATTAGCATATGAATCTGTGCTATGGAAGCATAGTAATATACAGGGTGGGATGGACAAATTGAGACACATTGTGTTTATCAATTCAAATGCAGTTTGCCGGTTAACCAAAAAACAATCAGTCAGAAATATATTTATTTCGTGACACTGGCATCGTTGTAGAGCATTCTCACTCGATAAACCCTCCCTCTGCCGCCACCATCCTCTCCAGCCGGCTCCTGAACCTGCCGCACGCGCGCTTCACGACAGCTCGGCCCATGGCCGCCATCGTCTCCTCGATGGTCCGCTTCAGAGCCTCCCTGGAGGGGTGGGGGCTCTTGTTGGAGACCCTCTCAACTTCGCCCCAGACAAAGTAGTCCAGGGGGTTGAGGTCCGGAGAGTTGGGGGGCCAGAACTCCTTGGTCCACGTCAGGTGCATGTTCTGCCGGCACCACTCCTGCGTCTTCTTTGCTGCGTGTGCGGGTGCTGAGTCTTACTGGAAGACATATCCAGCTCCTCTCGTGACTTCCTTGATCCAGGGCAGGATCAAGGAAGTCACGAGACTTCCTTGATCCTGAGAGACTTCCTCCTCGATCAGAGCCTGGAGTTGCTGCAGAAACGCCGGCGTTCTCTTCTTCCCAGGCCCTGATTTACGCTTTTTACGCTCGGGAGTCACCTCTCCTTCATCCTCGCCATCTCCACCGCCCTCCTGCGCCCGCACACGCTTGGCAATGCGGTACACCATGCTCCGTGGGACACGCAGGAACTCGCTGATCTCCGCCGGGCTCCTCCCTGCGCGCAGCGCCTGGAGCACGGCGGCTCGGCGATCGTACTCGGCTCCGCGACCAGACATGATTTGACCTGACCTTGGGTCACCCTCGCTTTTATAGCATCTGAGGGCCGTGCCAGCGATGCGACCAATCAGATTGCGGTTATAGCCGAGGCGTACAACCGCGTAGAAACTTGTCTCAATTTGTCCATCCCACCCTGTAGTTCTATGGAATTACCTCGCTGAACCGCCGCTGAGGGGCATCCAGCGTTAGTGACGCATTTAGTTGTCATGGTTACCGGTCAGTGAGTATTCATCAACAAATGGCTGAACACGGAATCACCACCATGTTCTAATATCTAACGACAATGCGATTAAATGAGGCGATTCAATTAAGATAGTAGCCACTAATCAATGGATAGAGGTGGAATTATCATCGAAGGGGACGTGTAACCTGAACACGGTTTGACATTAGCCTGAATGGGGGATCACCGAACGCAGCAGTCTGCACCAATTAACGGCTTTGCTAGGCGCGAATGGAACCAGAGCTGGACAATCAGCTTGATCGGAGTGGAAATCACGGGAATCGACGCTGAACCACGGGTATCGCTGCCTGAAAGCAGATGCTGATCAGTCTCATAACTCCCCACTGTGGAGCTGTGGTAAGATTTTTAACTCTTGCCCTTGCCAGTTACCAGCGGGTCAAGTCAATATTGTGGCGTTCCTGCTCTGTGGTCTCTGGCCATGCTTTTTTCTTTTTGCTTGTAGTGAAGTGAAAACCTTCATATGATCCGAGACGATGGTAAGGCTCCGGTTGTAATGCATTGGCCCTTTTGCGCTGCCGCGAGAACCCACCGTCGCCATCCATTGGCCGGCCTGTGACCATCCTGACCCCATACAGGCTCCGTGGATATTGGATAGCCATGGGCCATGGCCCATGTGGTGTGTGAAAGTACACAGATTTCGGTTGGTATCAGACCTGAGTAGTAGGGTAGCCTGGGGCAAGACGCCCCAGATAATTTATTTTGCTACATAACTTTTGTCCTACATCACCTGGAAGGCCAAATTTGTGCTCAACGCGTTCTTTGGACATTTTACTTTAAATTCCACCCCTCAAATTCATTCACTTATGATCGGACTCCCAGCTATGAAGTGATTTGTGAAGCAACTGCAAATGGGGCATTTTGCCCCAACCCCAGGGCAAAACGCCCCACGGCCCGGGGCAAAAAGCCCCATACTCTAGATTAAAGATTAAACATGCTAGTTGACCAAATTTTATATGAGAGGTCCGTTAGACCTTGGGAGGCGCGGCACTGAAGTTAGCACCTTCCATCCTACCAGGTGTTCAGCTATGACACTATTGTATGAGCAGGTTTTTCACCTGCCTCATAAGGCCAAATAATAAATTATTGCCATGCAACTGTCAACCAAATACTTCCTTTGCCATCCGCTTGCTGAGAAAACTACACATAAATGCATAGAAACTTACTGTTTGCCAGCTACCGAACATTAGGAAGTGGGTAGCACGAACAACACATGAGGCAAAACGCCCCATGGGGCTTTTTGCCCCGCGACCTACTGGGGCGTTTTACCCCATCACGTAGTTCGGTCAGAAAACAACGCCTTGCGTTCCATTAAGACATAATTTAACACGAACCAACCCGGCATTATAAGCGTTAGATAATAGTTGTCCAAAATACATAAAAGTCGTTAACCTGATGTGGAACATAAAAGAACGCCATGATGCATAACCTAACAACAAAACATAAAAATCACTCCCAAAACACATTTTTGGCTATATCTCCCTAAGGAGTCATCACAATTTCTTTCCAGTCTGGTCATATAATGATCATGTAGTGCACGTTTTATAGAAGAGAGAATATTTCCCCAGATCCTTGCCAGTTCCGAGAAACATCGGTGAGGCGTTTTACCTCGGCGGGGCGACTTGCCCCGGTCTACCCTACTTAGTAGACTATACTCCAAAATCAAAGTGCCGTAATGAAATCTCACTACTTTTTCTCGCAAAATATATTCCTACTGATGCCAAAACAAAAATGTCCCCTGAGACTTATCTCTTTTATTAGGTGGGATATTTTCTTCACGCATGATAAGCTATCGATTCTGAGTCTGGTCGTTCAGAGGCCATTGGGCCGGTCGGCTGCGGACCGCGCCGTGGGCCGGCAGCGTATAGTCCACTGCGGCCTCTGTCCGCGCGCTATGGACGGCCGGCGGGCGCTGCGGCGCGGAAAATCGCCTCCCGCCGGCCACAATCGGGCCGATAGGGAGCCGGTGGCTCGACGGCGTCGTCACTGGCCGCCGGGATAAAATACGGCCGCCGCTGAAATACAGCCTGCCACGCCGACCGGTCATCGAAGCGCAATTCATTGCCGCTGCGCCGAATTTATCGGTTCGGGGGGATGGGAGGGAGCGCAAACGAGCTCCTTCGGCCGCCCGGCTGAAAAGCGTAATTATCGTTTTACTGTTGCGATGCGGGTTGAGATGGTATTGGTCTCTTATCATTTTGTCACAGCGCCAGCATTGAAAATGCCGGAGTTTTTATGTTCTTTTCATCATATAATGGCGCTGACACAGAATGTAGTGCTCGCGTTTTTATTGAAACTCGCTACTAAGTAATGGGGTTGGGAACTCGATTTTTTAAGAATGCATGAAAATGATCAAACTATTTTCACAGAATTTATGGTGCATACCATTGCCTCATAAAATCAATAAGCTGAGATAAATGGGGGAAGAAAGATAGGAAACTTGTTTTGAAAAGTTCTTGAAAAAAGATGCTCTTGATGCTGTTACGTCACATGTCACCTTCTGCGGTTGACAAATAATGGCGCATCTGGCGCGCGCATCTGGCGCACCACAGATTACATGTTATATCAATGGGTGAAAGATGTTGTTTGCTTCACTCTGCCATTCGCGCTGTTTTTAACTTTAAATTATGCTAAAACATTTACGGATGAAATGTTCAGTGTCAAAAATTGATGTGTCTGCCGTGTACTATACATATTCCCACTTAACATGAGCGCGTGATAAACATTTTATGTACCTCGAATTTTCAAATGATAAAGATGATGAATCGGAGGATGCTGAAAAGCAAAAGCTCATTCCAATATTTGGACTACTTTACGATTAAAATGTTTACATTCCTGTCATCTTATTAATCATTTATTTGTTCTTTTTTATGAAAATAACTTAAGGCGTTGAGAACCGAGGTAATTTCTATCTACCGTGCCTTAACTTACCAGCAACAGCAACCTATCTACACCCTACGGTGGCAAGGGAGACTGTGAAAGAAGCGTAGGATGGATTCTAAACAATTCTTTTGTGATATACTGAAGGGCAAAGTGTAGAGAAGAGCGTACAAGTCCTGTTTTGTGCCAGGCTGTTGCAGTAGCACTTATGAAACTCCGAAAACGATCTTCGTTCATGTCCCGAACAACATTACCCTGAGGAGATGATCGTCTGCAATAGCAGGAAGAGCTGATGCAAGTACTTTGAAATCCACTATCAAGTCGGTGCTTGTTGTAATGATCACTGTGAGGTGAGATATTTTGTGCA